TCTCTCTCTCTCTCTCTCTCTCTCTCTCTCTCTCTCTCTCTCCCCCCCCCTCCCTCTCAGCTGACAGACTTTGCAACATTCCGCAGAAAGTGGCGCACACTCTGGCCCTCCTCTCCCATCCTCAGCTGACAGCGCGCGCATGGTTCTGATGTCGCTGTCTTTCTGTGGGGGTTCAGTCTAGAGTTCCCAAGACCCGAAACGACTCTGGGATCTGAAATGGGCTCCAGGTTGATGTGGACTTTGCTGGTCCTGTCAGCAGTGGTTTTTGCTGCGGGGGAAGAGGACAGGTCAGGGACCCGGGGTCCAGATGAGGACATCCCGGAGGGCGCGTCCACCCTGGCTTTCGTCTTTGACGTGACCGGCTCCATGTACGACGACCTGGTCCAGGTCATCGAGGGAGCGTCCAAGATCTTAGAGACCTCCCTGAGCAGRCCGAAGAGACCTCTGTTTAACTTTGCTCTGGTACCCTTCCATGACCCGGGTAATTATTTATTTCTTTATGCAAAATGTTTTTTTTAAAGTTTATTGTTTGTTCCACCTAAATATTGCGCACACCTCATGAGGAGGGTCTCTGCACACAGATGTTTAACCTGTTGGTCACTATCATTATCATTCCCTCTGCTGTCTGCAGCCTGATGATTAACTCAGATCTTTCAGGTAACTGAGTTGTACAGTCAAGCCAAATAATCCATAWTAACTAATAACTGCCAATATGTCATGAGAATAAAGTCCTCAGAAGTTTTAATAAAAAAAAAAAACGCAGACAAAGACTGCATCACGTCATTAGGCTTGTGTGTCTGATCAAACGAAATGGAAGATGTCCAGCTGTTAACATTCAACCTGCTATTTAAACCTTTCTAAAATATTATTTCCTAACATTTCAGCTCTATTTGAAAACTCCTATGCCAGAGGTGCCCAAAGTGGGTGCCCGTGGGCCAAATTTGACCTGCCAAGCCATTTGATTTGGCCCACTAGCAGTTATCCTGGTTACTAGATTGTAATCTCCTGTTTTATGTAGAAATACTATTTGCACTTTGATAAGTCTTTTCAAACATTGGTCCAACTACAGATACAAGGAGCTCTAGTCAGATAAACTTAACTCGTGGTGCTCACTTCATCTTTGAACTACGTTAAGATTAAACTTAAAATACAAGTAAGAGACATTTATATTAGATTTAAGTTCATTTCTAGATTTGCACACCTTATAAGACCCCATATTCTCAAATTTTAAGTAATGAAAAGTCCCAAGAGCCTTTGCTGCCTGAGCAAACATTGAATTTTCTCCATGTCCATGGGCTGGGAATAAAACAAAACAAAAAAAAAAAAAAAGTGGGCTACCGCACTGGCTGCAGCTTAATCATAATAAATACAACTTTCCTTGAAATATTTGCATTTCGTGTATTATATTATTGCATTTGGCCCACCCCCCTCGGATTGATTTTAATTTTGGCCCTTTCAGAGAAAATGTTTTGGCACCCCTGTCCTATGCAGTTTTCTTCTAAAAGAACTTTAAGTGTAGCTTTCTTCTCTGCTTTAACATCTTTAAATTAAAGATCAAAACATTTTAATCTAAAAATATTCTCTGCAGCTACAACAGTAAACTGAAGTTAAAGTCGTAGCATTCCTTGAAAYGAATTCTGCCCATCATGCTAGAGTTTAAATGACATTATCCAGAATACCATTCTATAAAGTGAGATTTTGCAAAATGTGAAAGCTCCCAGAAAACCAGCTGTGGATGATTCTCAGCTACTACCACAGTTATAGCAATTTTGTGCTTGCTGTAGCTGTTTAGCTGTAGTGACCAGATGATGTGGGTTRATTTCAACAGTTAACCTGTTGTAKATGGAAACCCAGTGAYWACTTTGTGAAAGTTTCATTAAAATCTGTCCATTGGTTCATGAGATTTTTGCTCATGCTGCATAAAGGAACACATAAACATACTCCATCTGTCACCCTCAGGAGTTGAACAATAGTTAGAATGATGAATACATTTAATTAGTAGACAGATAAAATGTAGCAGGTCATAAATTAATCATTCAGATGTTTTTTCTGCTGATTWATTTTTTTATGAAGTCCATTTTCTTAATCACGCATTTAGTCTGGAAGGTTTGTGCCTGTMAACGCATATTATTCATGGAAGAAATGGGTTCAGTACAGGCAAGTTTGAAAAAAAAATTGAGTTAGTTTCTTCAAACCTTAGAGCAGATGATTGAAGAGCTGTGATGAAGAGTTTCAAACATGGCAGCTGCGGAAAAATGAGTGATTTGAACTTTAATTTCAGGACTTACAGAGACTTTGCTCCGTTTAAAAAAAAATATTGATGTTTTTCAAGTGAAACACAACAATCGAGTTTGATTTTTATTGTATTTTTTTGTGTCAGCTTCTTTTCAAAAGCCTCTCATCTCTGCATGCGTCCTTCACCAGTGACTTTGGTTTGTTTGCTTTTCAAGATGTTTACGAGGATGTCAGAACGCGTTCTCCAACCCCCCACCCCCCACCCCCAACGGGGAGAAAAGGAAATGGTTAGCGTTAGCAGGAGTAGCTGAGCATTTTTCCAAATGTTGTTTTGACCCTGCCCTCTCTGATTCTCTGTTTTGCTTTCTGTCCTCTTGCAACAACACGCCAGCGCCTCAATGGGAAAGAGTTTTGTTTTTGTTAGGACTTTTCATTAAAGACGCGTTTTCTTCTTCAAAACTTACTGAGATAACGCCGTCCCTCCTGTTTGACTTGGCGCCTCTTAAATCAGAACTTCCCTCTTTATTTGCCGTGCAATCTGACCCAGTCAACACCAGAGTGTCTGTGTGTGTTTTAAGTCTGTGTTCCTGGTGTGTGACGGAGACGTGTCAGGAGGACGCCTGGATATTGGGGTCAGGCCTGTGTGGGAACATAATCAGGAAACCCCCTCCAACCCCTTTCCTCTGTCCTGCAGGGAGAGAAAGAAGATCCTTCACAAGTTGTACTGAGAAGTAGGGCTGTCTGAAATAAGTGTGACCTTTAAAAAAAAGCCCAAATTTTAGCTGTTAAATGCATTTTGTTATGAATTTGGGGTGAAGAAAAGTTTAATTTAGTCTCTCCTGGTGCTGCAAAAATAGCTTTATATTCAGGGTCATATTTTTCAACCCGTTCAGTTTTCTCTATTTTCTTGCAAGGCATACATTTGTTCAACCAATTAAAAGGTTGTTCTGGTTGAATGCTCCGTGATTTCCTGCCATCATGTCACGAAACTGGTTCTTCAAACTRAGGAGCAATCTGAAAGGTGATGCTCTTAACTGATCTTGCTCTGGTCAACAATGGGCTGCTTTATTGCCAAAATAACCAGGAAAATAATACCCCTGAAAAGGCTATCATGAAGTTTTTCAAGTTTCGCATGGTAGATCGGGTGTTCCTCAAAAAGTGATATTTTCTTGACCCACTGGCCTCATATGAGGACATTGCTTTTGGCAAAACAACCCATGACAGAGTATTATACCGTACTTATTAGGTCCTACTAATTCCACGTGCCTTCAGTGTCTCAGGAGGTTAAAATCCAATCTGCAGCGTCGTGCTGGGACTTGTTCTATTTGGATTTCATGTTTGTTTCTGCTGTGGAGGCCGGTCTCTCCCAGCTGATCGCCTGCCTCGCTTACATCTTCCTGTCGCTTGTTATTAGCTGGAAGGAGATGGTTGTGGAGTGATGAGAGGGAATGGAGGAATAGTTTCTACCTTCTCCACGAGATCAAAGACTCTCATCTCAAAGCTTCCTTTGTTGGTGCGCAACGTCTTTTCCCCCAACTCCTTTTTTTCTCTCTTTTGTTCCCTTCGATCCAAAGCACGTTTTTTTTTTTGGTCTTAACCACCCCGCCTGTGTGAGATTACAAGGAGTCTGCATTTAGCTGGACAGAGTCAATAATGATGCTATTAGGCAGGAATGCCAAAAGACAGAGGTGGAGGTTTAGAGTAGACAAGAAGACAGAACCGCAATGAATTTTGTGTGGTTTTATGTTCATAAACTGACTCTGACTGTACATCTACATCAACTAATGTTGTTCTCCTAACTACATTTAGCTTTATAGTTTTTTTCTTTCAAACTTCAATAAAGCAGTTTTAGATATTCCAAATGTTGATGAATGTTTTTTGGAATTTGTACGTTTGATCGGTTCAGATGGTCAWACAAACCTGGGTCTATTTAGAACATGTGATCCACTTAAGAATTATGTTTAAATGAAACATGTCTCTTTGTTTCCCTTCAGGCTCTCTACATATTTTCCTGTTGAACCCTCAGCCTCATTCTGAGGTCGTGAGGTTTCATTAGTCCAGTTTAGGTGCAGTGGGGGTGGGGTGGGTGGGTTTCAAGTCAGCGTCCAGRCTCTTGTTGATCCTTTTGACCCTTTTGTAACCAAATGTTCTCTCTTCAGGGACCCAAACCTTGGACTGAAACCTGTTTGAGAAAAGAAATAARTAGAAAGCTGGGCAACTATGTTTTATTCTATTGAGCTCTGCAGTAGTCCTGGCAGAAATAACATTTCAGGCCATAAAAAYCATCCCTTAAGTTTTCTTGAAGGGGGACATACCATGCACAATCCACTTTTTTAGCTGTTAATTGCATTTTGTTGTGAACTTGGAGTCTCTAGGAGTGCAGAAAATTAGAATTTAGTGCTGTAAAGATATCTTTATATTGCGTTTGGGTCACATTTTTCAACCCGTTAAGGTAGTTTCTAGGATGTTTTTGCAACAGAACTTCTCAGTAAGGTCTACACGTACCAAYCACATTTTGGTGGTCTTCATTCTCCTCTGGGTCCAACATGTAAGGCTGGACAAGTCTTCCCTTGTTGACATCTTTTAACTAAATTGTCACAAAAAATAAAGTCTTCGCCATATTCATAAACACCTCTCTCAAATTACAGTAGATCATTTGGATTTAAAGACACAGCCTCAAGTCGAGTTGATCTTAGACAAACCTCAGAAAAGTGGTGAAAGAGGGGCTTGTGGAGTTACAATAAGGAGAAATTCAGACCAAAGCGTTGCAGTTCCCCTTTATATGGACCCCAAATGAATGATTTAAATGTGAAAATGAAGGATTTATAGATATATCTCCTCCAAAAATACATCTTTAAAACCCTTTTCAAATCGTGGAATCCAAATAGATCTTTTCTAGCTGCCTGTTCTGTAGCAGCTGCACTCGGACAGAACATGTTCTGTATTRGTGTTAGATTGTCAGCATTTTGTTCTGCTTTAAAAGCACTCTTTAGTGCTCATGTTGCTGTTGAACGAGGGCTTCCCTCAAAGCCAGCACTTTCAGATTGATGTCTAGACAKTTTTACAGAGGAAACATTTTTCCTGAACGTTTAACTTTATTGCTTTACATCATACTTTTAGGGACTGGGGGGCTGGTGGGGGGGCGCTCATATGGAACACATTAGATTTGCATCGATATCGGCACAAATCCAGCGTTAAAACCTTTGCATGACATGATGTCACACTGGCTGTGACTTCCAAAGCTGT